AGCCTGAAGTGTGAGCTTCAGGGTCTAGTTCCCCATGGTGTCCCACATATCACTGTTGGTTTCAGAGGCATTAATAATGGGAAGAGAATAGTGAATAGGATTCTCTCACTGTGGATTCTATAGTCCTTCTTAGATCTAGAACTCTGTGGTTCTAGGAGATGGCCCCTTTGACTCCTGCTACACACACTGTCAGTAACATTCTGCTAAAAAGCAGCTTAGTAGTATTGGGCTGATTAAAGGGGAATAAAGGGACACATATGCATTAAACATGTACTACAAGACTGAGCATGCTGGCTCACGCCTGTAATCCCAGTGCTTTGGGAGGTCGAGGCGGGTGGATCACTTGAGGTCAGGAGTTCGAGACCAGCCTGACCAATATGGTGAAACCCCATCTCTACAAAAACACAAAAATTAGCCAGGCATGGTGATGCGTGCCTATAGTCCCAGCTACTTGGGAGGCTGAGGCAGGAGAATCGCTTGAACCCAGGAAGTGGAGGTTGCAGTGAGCCGAGATTGTGCCATTGCACTCTAGCCTGGGCAACAGAGCGAGCCTCCATCTCAAACAACAACAGCAACAACACCACCACCACCATCTACTATGTGCCAAGCACTGTTCTAGATGCTGGCACATTCTAGATTCTGCAGTGCACGGAACAACGTCCCTGTCCTCAAAGAGCTTACATTTTAGTCAAGGGAGATGGTACACAAAATAAATAAACACAATATTTATGTCTTGTTTATTAATTGTGTTAATGATGATGAGTGCTGTGAAGAAACTTAAAACTATATAAGGGAACAGAGGGATAGGGTGGAATTTTATACAGGCAAGTCAGGGAATACCTCCCTGATAAGGTGAGATTTAAGCAGATATTTGAATGAAGGGAGAGAGTGAGCCGTGTGTATATCTTGGGAGTGAGTAATCCAGATGGAAGGAACAGTAACTGCAAAAGCCCTGAGGCATGGGAGATATAAACCAGGGAAGCAGGGTTGATGGCACCCATCTGTATTCGCAGCTACTTGGGAGGTGGAGACAGGAGGACTGTTTGAACCCAAGAGTTTGATTCCAGCCTGGGCAACATAGTGAGACCCCATCTCTTAAAAAAAATAGACCAGCAATCAAACCAGGGGCTTTGGAATCAAAAGGATGTATTTTAGCTCTATGCCCTGCCTTGGAGCAAATATTTAACTTCTCTGCACTATTCCTCATCCCCTATCCAGAATGATAATGACACAAAGTTATTTTTTCTGGTTCCTTAAGAAGATTTAATACATGTTATTCCTGACACATGGCAGGCACTTGGTATGCTGGTGCCCTTCTCTTCTCCCAGACTCTCCATTCATTCTGAAAGCCTCCACATAATGCTAACTGTGGTATCTGGCATATACAGATGCTCACATATTTGCTTGTAAGAACTGCAAAGGAGCACTTAGCTAAAAATGCTTCTCTTTTATAACAGGTATGCTTCCTTTGCCACCTCCATTAAAAATGGCATTCACAAAGCCATTTCAGCCATATATCACTGTTGGCTTCTAGAAGCATTGACAATGGGAAGAGAAGAGTGGGCAGGATTCTCTGAATGTGAATTCTGCAATTCCTCTGCGATTTTAGGAGATGGCCATTGCATGCTCATTAGCAGTAACATCCTGCTAAAAAGCAGCTTAGTAGTTTTGGGAGTGATTCCAGAGGAATAAAGGAATTCCATGTAGCCTCCCTGGTGATTAAGGAGGGCATGAGCTATACTGGGGTAGCCAGAGGAATGTCCACAACTGTTTCTCTGTCTTTGATTGGCCAACTCTTCCTCATGTATTAAAAGAAGCCTTCTCTGACCTTATCTCTTATAGCTTTTTCTTTTGAATAAGCAATACGTATGATTCAAAACTCAAAACAACATAAAGTATACATTGAGGAATCTTTGTTCCACCCCGTCCTTGTCTTTCTTTTTATCCCCTGAAGGTAAATGCTTTTCTTTCTTTCTTGTTCCTTCCAGAGTTTCTTTATACAGATGTAAACAAAACTGAATATACATTATTATTTTACTCCCTTTCTTAAAATGAATGTGTATTCTATGTATTTATGGTTGTGTGTGTGTGTATTTTACCTTGCTCTTTTTGCTTAACAGAATGTCAAGGGTATCAATCCAGGTCAGTGCATAGAGAGCTTTCTCAGTCCTTATTACAGGGGCATGGTATCCATCAGAAGACGTACCATAGTTAATTTAACTATTTCCTTCTAACAAAGGTTGGTAAACCAAGTCTTGAAAAGATTATCCTTGCCAGCCCTGTACTTACTATACTATTTCATAAAAACATTTGGGCCTCTCACTAAAGCTGATAGGGTTTTTGAAAGTAGAGGCTGTGGTTTTATTTATATTTATATCCATAGCACCTCGACAAAACCTGAGGACACAAGACAAGCAAAAACAAACATGATGCCTTGCTTCATGGTGGGACTTACAACATGCAGGGAGAGATCATTGTTTTTGGAACTCACACCAATAAATACAGAACTATAATTGTTGATAAGTTATATAAAGGAAAGTACAGGGGATTGTAAGAGCATAGACTAGGGTGATGTCTTTGGATCTGGTGTGAGAGATGTCAAGAAGGACTCCTCCATGAAGTTGATGTTTGAACTAAGGACATGATGATAAGGGGCAGATAACAAGAGGTAGAGAAGCAGTAGAGGAAGATGTCATAGACAGAAGGAATAGCATATGCAAAGGCCCTGTGGTTGAAGGGAGCACTGCATATTTAGGGAAAGGGGAGGAAACAAACTTGGCTGAGCAGAGAGCATGGCACATGGTAATACTGTAGAAGGAGACAGGCAAAAGCATGTGGGGCATTTGATCTTCCTCTGAGAGCAATGTGAGGGCATGTAAGGAGAGTGACATGGTCTTGTTTTAAAACAGTCATTCTAGCCACCAGGGAAAAAAACAGGCTGCAGGATGGGAAGAGTCCAGAGCTTGGAGTAGGGTGTTAATGATAGTGATGAAGAGGAGTCGACAGACTTTGGAGATGTTTCAAAGCAAACGTGACAGGTCTGTTGATGAACTGACCATCTGAGGTGTGATGAACAACTTCTAGGATGCTGGCGGCTAGAGAAATAGGATGAATAATGGGCTCCTTCACTGATATCAGAATTCCCAGAAGCCTAGATTTGGAGGAAAAGATCTTGAGTTCAACTTTTGACATATTGAAGTTGAGGTCCCTTTTCTTTTGAGAAAGTCAGGAGGAATCTGTAGGAAGTAAGATATACATCCTGGAGCTTAGAGGAGGGTTCTGAGCTGAAATGTGGGCGCCTTTGTGTGTAGGAGATAAATGAAGTGTTAGAGTTAGAGGAGATTCCCTAGGGAGAAAAAAGAGAATGAGACCTGAAGAGGGTCTAAGGTAAGCCTTGGGTCTCTCCTATGGTCAGTGGACAGGTAGAGGAGGAGGAGGAGCAGCAACATGCATAGGAAAGAGGTAGCCAGGATCAAAGGAGGAAGACCAGGAGGGTGGTGCCATGGAAGCCAATGGAAAGAGATAGCACAAAGTGAACAGTATGTGTCAATTGGTTGATGATCTCACATGCAAGGCCATTCATCTTTCCTCCACCTAGTCCCACTTTCCATGTATTGGTTCATTTGGCTCTGAAAGCTCTTTCTCTATAGGGAGGCAGGTGTGTAGAAGCCTTCTTTTTATCTGTCTGTCATTTTTGGTGTCCTGAGCTAAAGGGTTATGTTGAACTCTGTTTTCCTTTCACAGATGACTACAGTCATCCTTAGGTGACACATTAGTGTGGGTGACCTACACCTAGAAATGTGGTACATTTCAAAATGTATAGAGGGTTAGATAGCTCCTTCTCTGTGCTAAAATCAGGTAGTTTACACTAATTAGGTAAGAAAATAACCACGTTCAGCCAAAGACAATGGGGAGCCATAAGTACAAAATATATTCCATCGTTTTTATCTGTGTTTCCATATAATCACCTGCCCTTCAATTACATTTTTTTTATTTTTAGAGCTAAAAATAGATCAGAAAGTTTTGCTTATTACATTTTCTAGGAAGACTTTGTCAGATCTAGTTTTTAAAAACTTTTTGTAGATTTATTCCATTTAAAATTAATTCTTTCCTCTTCAGGATTCTGAAGATAACATCAACTTTTTTTTTTTTTTTTCAACCTGTATTTTCACGGAAGTAGAATCCAAAGGTACCTGCTTAGGATAGCTTTTTCCTTTAGCAGAAATAAGCAGACTAGCTGAGCAGCAGAAAAATCACTCATTATATTCTGAAAAATCACCAATAATTGTCTGATAGATTGCTTTATATACAATGACCTGCTTTCCTCCATGCCTAAGACTGAAAGTCTATCTTTAAATGAGGTTAGGAAGGAGTTATTATTATTTAGGATGAGAAAGCACCCAGGAAAGAGGAATGACAGTGGATGGAAAGTCATCAAATGGATGAGAATTCACAGTGTGATAGGGCAAAAATGGAGGGAGAAAAGAGCGAGAAATGGCTTGGTGTTTCACTCACTCAGAATCAGTTATATCTTTGTACATAACTAACATCTCAGAGAATCACACTCTTCTTAAAATGCCAGTTCTTTTTCTGTTATGTCAAGAGACATTGGCATTTAAATTCAGGAATCCTATTATATGATCTTACTACTCAGTTATTCACAAGTAGAATTTCATCTTTAAAATAGTCAAAATAATTTTGGCCATATTTGGTCTTCCAAGAAAGCCATAAAATGAACAATGCCAGTAACAATTATGAAACTAAATTGGCCTTATAAGAATAAAAAAATCAATTTTGCAAGTTTATATTCACAATGACTAATTTCCATATAAATGATCTGACTTTATCCAGTCTAAAAAATGTGCCTGTATTCTCTTGCTTTTTTATATTTGCAATTCTCGAGGTGTACTTAGGTGGAAATATTTGAAGGCATGTTGATATGTGTTGCAGTATTGTAATTCTAATTATTTCTCTCTCTCTCTGTCTTTTTTTTTTGGCAGTATATCAGTTACAGCAAGAGGCACCTCGTCCCAAGAGAATCATTTGTCCTCGGGAGGTCAGTACTCAGCTATTTCCAATACACCTTGTTAAATATGATGAATTGTCAGCACTACATAGAGAGTGGAGGGATTTCAGGTTTCCTGGGAGTTGATTTCTATTAACGTTTGTTAGAGTGTCGAAAAATTTAACATCTTCATAATCTATATTTTGACATCAGACATTATTTAAAAAATACTAACAAACCAACTTGGATTCAGATGTCTCCTATTTTTAACCATTACCGAGACAAATTAAACAACCTTTGTAAACACCAAAAAATGTGTATTCTGGATGTTTTCTTTGTTAATATCCTTTCGATTCTTTTAGCATTTTTTATTATGAAATGCTTACAGTAGAGAAAGTACAGGGAATAATAAACCTCTGGGTATTTTCAGTGCCCATAGTTAGTAAATCTTTATGCTTGGTCATATTTACATGACATTTTAAAATAATAAAGGCTGACAAAAAAGTGATGAGATTTTAATTCTAACTTTCCTTAATTCACTAATCAGTTCTCTGAGTGTGGGATGCCAGCAAGATTTGAAAGGCAGGACTAAGGCTCTATTTTCTGTTTTTATTCTGATCAGTTTCTTTAATAGCATACTTAATATCCTTCAAATCAAAGGCCCCTGGGTCCTTGCTTATTTTTGTCATCACTGGGATTAGATATAGAGCTGCGGATAGCTTTTAAAGTGCCATGCATGCCTTATCAAGAGGGAAAGGCTCCAATTCCAACACTCTTGAGATTCACTCTTGAACATTAGTACTTTTTGGATCAGGTTTTGAACCTGTTTCAAAGACTTATGTCCATGCATACCCATACTCAGAGCCAAGTTATCATGGTTTAATACATTTTTCTATGTAAAATTTTACATCTGTTGAAGGGCAATGAAATTCATCAGGTCATCTCAATTTTAGGACACAGTAGACTTTCTCATCCCAGGCATATGACTGGAGAGGAGGAAATATCTGGTGCTTAAGGAAAAATCCAGGATGAGTTCCATTTATTTCATACTCTGATCTTGTCTTAACTCTGGGGTCAATATATTCAAATAATATATTCAATAATATTTGTTATTCAGTAACCAAATCCAATAATATTCAATATTTTTTCAAATGAGAGAAAAATAGGATAAATACAAATTTTTGAATGAGATGCACTAAATAAGAATGTTCTCAGTGCAAATTAAGACACAAGTTGCTAAAGTTTCCTTCACTCCTGCTTTTTATTGAGTGTTTCTCCATCAGAAAAATTATTGCCTTGTGTAAGGAAGTAGAGGAATTTAAATGTCTCAATGAAAAAAAATTTGTAAAATTAGAATACAACTAAAGACTCTATCTAGGGGCATTAATAAAAAGACACTAGGCAAGGTCAGGCACCAGAACTTGAAATGCAAACAGATAGCAAATAGTCATTCATTTATCTGTTTATTCTGTAAATATATATGGAGAGCCTACTCTATTTGAGCTGTGGGGAATATAGCAAAGGACTTGGCTGTTGGCATTTTGAATATTATAATAAAAGACAACAAAAGTATGATGTAATTAAATATATATTTAAGATTTTGTCTCTGTATAGTGTGTGCGTGTGTGTGTGTGTGTGTGAAACAGAAAGAGAGAGAGAGAGAGAGAGAGAGAGAGAGAACATCTCTCAGTTTCTCAAAATCCTTGGAACCATGTCAGTTGTCCCTTAAGGCAGGTGGAGTGTTAGCAGTGGAGGTAGGCAATTCGGATTATCCATGTACAGACTCTCCCTAGAGTTCCGCTGAAACGCTTCTGCCATCCAGCGGGCTGAGGGTCCACTGCGTATCTGTTTGCTGTTGCAGTGCCATCACCATCTGCTGTGACTAAAGGATATGATGTCCATGTCTCTTCTTTCCCCTCTTGTCTGCCTGTTAAACCATGCTCTTCACCTTTTGACCTTACCAATTTGATATCTTAGTGAGGGATGTCTGGTCAATGCTTGCTTTCCTCTAGAATTCCATATCCCGTTTCTGCCACGAAACCTAACATGAAATGGAGATTCATCAGCTCCCTTGCCTCAGCAGGCAGCATGGGGCCCATCCAGCCAGGCAGGTGTCAGATAGTAACAGGTCAAGTTTGCCTGAAGAACAGGTGCTGCTCAGATGAGTGTCTGCGGGAGTAGCTTCAGTTCCCTTTGTTCTCTAGTTTGTCCTCCAGTTTGATGTTATCTGCAGATAATTACTGCCCAAATTCCCAAGCCTCCCAGCAGCTGGCCTCCTGCAAGTGAAGGCACCACTTTCTCTTGCTTGATGGTGAAACAGTTTCCCCTACTACAGATGGTGTTTAGTCATACGTCTTGTTGTCTTGTAACACCTCCATGCTTGGGAGACATGCCTAATGAAGACAGAAAGCCTTTCTGTGTGAGTTTGTGGCCAGAGAGATTGAAGCTTTATTTACACATTTACATAAAGCAGTAAAGGCTGTTTAAAACAATGAGTTATTTTTTCTATGTACGTTTTCCTGTTACATCTCATTCCTTAGCTAAGAGCCCACATCTTCCTCTTCTACACAGCTCTGGGCCCTTTTTCTTGGTCTTCAATCCATCTCCTCCCAGCTACTCTTCCCTGGTCCCTAGCATGGTAGCTCCAGTATACTCAATCTCTGTTGTTTCTCTGATGACTCATACCTTCCTGGGCTGTGGGCCTGTCCCAGGTTAGGACCTGCCAGTTCCACATGATAAATACCCACATTAGAGCACCAAGCAAAGTGTGCAATTATAGAGATGTGGAACACTGTCCCTCTAGGGTATAGACGTAGGCCAGTCTGCCTTGATACATGGTGGTTATAAACAGATACCAACTACCTAGTAGAATTTGCTAGGGAGCTGGGTGAGTCAAGGGTACAGACTGATTCAGCAGGCAAAATCCACATACTTATCGAATCCAGGAAAGCAGGGAGCTCAGCTGCAGAGTCAGCTTGGACTTGTTTTGACTTCTTGCTCCACCACTTTCTAGCTACCTGACACAGAGCCAACCACTTACTCTCTCAGGGAGATTAAGGCCTAACCCAAGGATAAGCACCTACTTTGCAGGGTTGCTATAAATGGCATATGTGGGTCAAGTGTCCAATATGGTGCCTGCTGCATAATGGGTACTCAGTTATTGTTCATGATTCATGGCAGAGTCAGAAACCTGTGAAGAACAGGCTCTGAGCTGGTCATTAGGGACAGAGTCAAAGTGATGACAGTGTGCTCTGAATGTAAGGGTAAGAGGCAGTGATCAAGAAGAAAGCAAGATGCCTAGGTCAGGAATTAAACCACCAGGAAGAAAGATACTGAGGATGAAGAACAGAAGGTACAAGCAGCTGAACAACAGCTCTGGCGCCAATTAAGCCAGGCAGGGTCAGGTCCTGAAATAACAGTTCATTGCTTTCTTGAAGCTTTACCACTGCAAATTAGTATTTATTGAGCAGCTGCAGCACCTGGTGCTCTGCTGGCATTTCCTCAACACTCCATGCCAACAGATGCAAAACATCTTCCCATATGCAGAATTCTCGCTGCTTTTTCTGTCAGCTATCAGTCAGTCACATCATAAGCATTTATTAGTTACCAAATGTGTGCCTGGGTTGTCTGTCACAAACTGTGTGGAATATTGACTCTCAAATTTATTTCTCTAGCCAAGACCTCTACCCGGGGCTCCAGACACCTCTATCCACCTGTCCACTGGACCTCCTCAGGTCGCTGTCTCACAGGCCACCACCAGCCTCATGTTCAGAATAGAACTAGGCCCTGCTCCATTGGATGGCACCTAACTTCAGACACCTGTACTTCTCCCTTCCCTACCCTCACCCCTTTCTCCTCCATTCTTAGCATCAAGTCTATCTCCAAGTATATCTTGCATTATCCACTGTACTCTATCCCCATGAATGTTGAGTGGTTTGGGCCGTTGTCATTTCTTGCCTGGATTTCATTGCAGATAAGGAACCTCCCACCTGATCCCCCTGCTTCCGCTCCTCGCAGGTTCCCTGCAGCTCACGTGTGCACATACACACACACTCCAGTCACCAGACAGGAGCCCAGATCATCGTCGTTAAATACAAATTGGACCCTTCAATAGCTTTCTGTTCCTCTTAGAATAAAAGCAAATTTCTTGCCGTGCCTATGAGCCATAGTTTGCCTCCTGCATCTGTCACTGCCCTGTCTGTACCATTCTTCTCCAAGTGCACTGCCTTTTAGCCCCACTAGATTCTATTCCCATTCATTTAAAAAAAAAAAAAAAAGAAAGAAAGAAAGAAAAAGAAAAAACCACTGTTGCTATTACTGGATCTTTGCACTTGCCCTTTGCCTGAAATTCTCAGACCCAGGTTCTCTGCACATCTAGGTTTCAGGTCAAATTTCACATAATAAGAGGCCCTTCCTAAACTCCATAAAAAAGTAGCACCTCCCGAACCCTTGGAGCTTCTCTGTCATATCGCCTTTTTTATTGTGTCTGTGGCACTTCATATACTCTCTGATACACTTTCTTAACATATTTGATTGTTGCTTGTATATGTCTCTCCAGGAGAATACAAGCTCCAGAGACTTCATCAGTCTTAATCATAGGTATATCCTTAGCAGTGAGCATAGCCAAGCAACAGTGGGGAATCAGTAAATAAATAAGTAGTTTTCAAAATGATGAAAAAAAGGGTAGCGATTGCTAGCATAAGGAATTTGGGATTCTCAAACTATTACTAATAGCATATCAGATTTACTCAATGCTGTTATTAGGGTAGTGAGCTAGACTTTTGGCAGTTGTTAAGGTACTAACTTAAACACAGACTAAAATTTTTTCCTGGACTAATCCAAGTTTCTTCTTGGCCTCTCCAAAAGGCCAAAATGGCAAGATTTACTTGTGTGACTCATTGAAAGTCAAGTTCCCCTAAAATTACCTCAAGCCGACACTAAATAAGCAGAAGTTCTTTTGTGACTGTAAATGATTTGGTGTCATTTGCCTCCTTTGAAATTGCTATAGTGAACATGGGATTATAAAAAGCAATTTCAAAAAAGGAAAATAC